ACTGTGGTTCACCTTGAAACCAGTTATCAAACCATGTCTAACTGGCAACTATAACATTTCTTCAGACATTTTTTTTTTGTTTTAATTTAGAATTTATTTTGTGATTGAACAAAATACTGAGGTATTTCTTTGGGAAGAAATTGGAGGAAAAGTTGGGTGACAAAGTCTGACGGACAATGCGTCTGCAGTCTTTAGACAAGGCAATTTCTCCCGACTTAGTGGTTCATAGGGATTCAAAATAACGTTTGGATTAAGCGTCTTAAATCCCACCCACCCTTAAGCCTCGAGAAAATAGCCTTTCTGCTGACATGCAGTTATGGGGGCCAGCTCTCAGCTTTTTACTGTGTCATAAGAGACGTTGCATGAAAGTGACAAGTTTTCCATCTATACAAGTCTGATTGTTGCACTGAAGAAAAAAAAATGATACCATGAGTAGGTTGCTGGGTGAATATTTTTGGCTTTAAGTCTGGCAGGGACATCATTCTTATTTCCCAATCCTTCCCCTAACCAGAAGAGCTACATCATGGGAATGTGAGGTATGTGGAGCTCTGAGACACCCGTCCAGACAATAAATATAGGCCAAAATCTGCAGAAAGTTTTGTCTAAGCCTTCAATTCAACTYCACTCTGACCTTGGCTGCGTCCTCTACCAGAACTGTGGGCACAAAAAAACTCAGCGGCTATTTTCTTGAATCAGGCACTTAGAASTCAACCCAACCAGGGAGGTTTTGAGGCGGTAAACCTTTACAGCTTGACACCTTATTCATGTGGTTGGCATGATGAAACCATCACAGCCTTGTCAAGATGCTGGAATGCTGACCTCACAAACAAACCCCAGTAATGAACTTAAACACTTACAATCAAAGTCTCCTGAGAGACTCTCCCTGCCCATTTGGAATGCAGTGAAAATGCCTCCCACCTTTCTGCAGTGGAGATTTAGACGGAGAGCAGGGTTACTCCCGGTGACAGCAGAATAGCTGACCACAACAGCAGACTCATCATTCAGGTTTTTGATTCAACAAACACCACTTAAGAAAGTTGACTCAGTGGCCTTCAAAACACAAATAAAAGATGATTATCCTCGGTGTATTTTTTTTTACTCAAAAGGTTTCACACTAGTAATGAAAAAATCATTGATGATAAGACCTTGAAGGAATGTTCCCCCCRCTAGATTTCGTGCAAGAATTTTGAACTAGGAGTGTCTAAAGTTTTTTAATAAACCTTGCAAAATATGTTTTTCTGAGACTTCAAGTGCAATCTTACAAGATGTGTTAGCACAGAATGTGTTGGATGACTTTCAGCTACTAACACACTATAATGAGATCCGTTCACAACCAGGGTAGACAACTTATTAGCAATGTTGCTATATTTAATGAGTTTTCAGACCCTTCTTGTAGGACTAGGCGATGTGCTTTAAAAAAATGTTTCATAAGCGTTTCATATCAGTCGAATTGCCAAACTGGTCACATGACCTTTCCTATTTTATYCACAATTTCCTCTCAAGTTCTTAATTTTCTTCCTTAACTCCACATCATTTTTTTTCTTATTATTTTTAAGCAACTCTGAGACACAGTGGTAAAACATGAAACTGCTACTGCACATGTTACACAAGTTGTTGCTAGCTCACCAAGAGTGAGTGAGGTAGCTGATGCCACCAACCTTCCTTAGCTAAAGGTTTTCCTCTGCCTACATCCCCCAGAATGCCGTGCGGTTCTAGATTGGAGTTTAGTGAAATTACCAACACTATCAGTAGGGCTGTGTATTGGCAAGAATTTGGCGATACGATACATATCATGACAGAGGGATCACGATACGATATATCCCGATATATTGCGATACTGTAAACAAGGCGATATATTGCGATTTTTTTGTCCAAAAATTCTATGAAATAAAAACCTCTTACTGGGAAAAAAAATAAAAAACAAAATACATTGTCTCAGAAAATTCTAATATTACATAGACATACTTTTGATACATTTAGCTGTGTTCTGCTTTGTATGTATTTTATTTGTTTCATATGTCTTATTTCATCCATGTTTTCAATTATTAGACTAAATTTGCCAAAAATAGTTTGAAAATATATTTTTACAGCTTTTAGCTTTTAATATTAATTTACAATATGGTCATCCAACACTTAACAATAGC